TGTACAAGGCCACGCTTACTCAATATTACAGGTATGTATGATATATCAATGTCAATCGAGGACATGTAATAAAAATACCCTTTGAATTTTATGTTCACTTCTTTTGCGTACTTCAATCTTTTGTTCAGATACGAGAAGTGGATGGGCATAAACTAGTTCAGGTGAGAAATCCATGGGCGAACGAGGTTGAGTGGAATGGGCCTTGGTCCGATACATCTCCTGAATGGACAGACAGGATGAAGCACAAGCTCAAGCATACCCCACAGGTAAAAAAAAAATGATGCTTGAGCATATTCTCTTTCGAAAATTATTACAAATCATTGAATTTTATCTAATGCTGCGAATATTGTGAACAGGCTAAAGACGGTATATTTTGGATGTCATGGCAAGATTTTCAGATACATTTCAGGTCGATATATGTATGCCGTGTTTACCCACCGGAAATGCGTTACTCCGTTCATAGCCAGTGGCGGGGATACAGTGCTGGCGGCTGCCAAGACTACGAAACTTGGCATCAAAATCCACAGTTTCGCCTGAGAGCCACCGGAGCAGATGCATCATTACCTATTCATGTTTTCATTACATTAACGCAGGTACATAGACACAAAAAATACTATATGCAAACTTATAATCAAATGAAGCTTATAAGCTGCAATAATCCCAAACTTGTGTTGTATATATATCTATGCAGGGTGTGAGCTTCTCGAGGACAACAGCTGGTTTTAGAAACTACCAATCGAGCCATGATTCGATGATGTTTTACATAGGTATGAGGATACTAAAGACACGTGGACATCGAGCAGCTTACAACATTTACATGCACGAATCAGTTGGTGGGACAGACTATGTAAATTCTCGAGAAATATCGTGTGAAATGGTATTAGATCCTGATCCCAAGGGGTACACTATTGTTCCTACAACAATCCACCCTGGCGAAGAGGCCCCCTTTGTTCTTTCCGTGTTCACCAAATCTTCAATAGTTCTAGAAGCTTTATAACATTTTGAGATGCCTCGAGAACCGATCCACCTAGACAAGCTGTCCCTTTTTCGGACACTCATACATGCTCGCCAATCGGACGAACACAGAGTTGCTGGTGGAGTGATTTGGTAAAATTTCTTACCTGAAATATATACACATCTTTTGTCAGTATCCTACTTTCTTATGATGTTTTAGTACTAATGAGAGATGATTGTAATAATTGGACAGATAAAGCTCCATGTATCGGAATGGCGCCACCTGTAGTTAGTTGTTCTGAAGAAAGGGCCAGCGCTATCAGTGTCGGGTTTTTGAGGGGGTTTTTGGTAATTGTTGAGGGAAAATTGATGGGCGGGGGGAAACATGTGTACATGAGTAGTAGATTGATGTAAGAATATATAGAGGACAATCTGCCTTTGTAAATGAGGGGTAAGAGGGGACAAAAAAAAAGAAGTATTTGAACTGGATAGGTTAACAGTTAGCCAGTTAGGTATATACTTTTGTTGTAGAGAATTTTACAGAAAAGCAACATTTTTAAGCAATTTTGAAGCCTTTCAATGCATAGGTGGGATTTTCATTTTATATGAATATAATTTTACTTCTTCCTTTGCTGTGAAAAGAAAGCCTACATTTTACATTCAAACCTTCATTATTGGTCTGTTTCTACAGGCACAGATATTACCGAAAAGCCCAACTGTGTTTAACGATTATTTAAGGCCCAATATCTTGGGGGCCCAAATGGCAAGCTAAACTCTTTTATACAGATACCACTTAATCATCATAATTATCTGTGCACGCACGCATTCTAACATCTCTCTTAAGTTTTCTCTGTTATTGAGTTCAATAGCTGAGAGTAGTTGATGAGATGATGTTTAACAAGTTGAGAGTAGCTAACGAGCAACGAGCTATGATCTAGCGAAAGAAGGTGAGTTATGTATATATTTTGCTCGACGTGAAATAAAATTTAGATGAGGTATTTCTTGATTAGTTATGAATTGACATCCTCATTGAGAGTTAGAACTTGTTAAGTAAAAAAGATATATTTTAAAGTATTTGGCATTTGGTGATTGATATATTTGAATAGAGAAAAAGAAGCGGTTAATCCAAAGTAAGTAATGACACCCACCCACTATATAGGAGGAGGAGGGAGGAGTTGCCCAAACGTTGTTTACTTGTCATTATTAAATTAATTAATATATTGATGAATTATGATTATTTGCTTTCACAAAACAGCTGTGTCTTTGACACCCTGTTCCTTTTTTTTTTGCCAAATTCACATCTCTTAATTTATTTCGTATTTTACTTCATAATTTGACATTATCTTACGAGTGCTAGTAATGTACACTCAATTTTATATTAGAATAATGAATTAAACGGAAAAGGCCATCCAATCCATCCTAAAAAAAAAAATCCTCTTTCTATAATTTAAATGTAGTAATATTCCCAAAATAGTACTCCAAAAGTAAAAGAAAAAAGAGATTATAATAATATAAGCAATGGGCAGCTGCCCGGGTTTATCTCTCATACACACAAACAAAAAACAAACATAGAAGGTGGAGGTAAAAGCTATCTTCAGCTGTATATAAACCCCACAATATCTCCCATTTCTATTCACAATCTCACAACATACCTACAATATATTCTCTCTCTCTCTCTCTCTAGAAAAACATTATACACACACTCACACACACACACGCTTTTCGAAAGAGGAGAGAAATATATAATCGAATATACATACATAAAAAAGAATATAATATAATGGAGTCGAAGAACATGGTCGGTGTTGCATTGATGATGGTCGTCGTGATCATGGCACTCTCCGGCGGCATGGAGGGCGTCTCAGCCGCACACTCTCCGGCACCCGCTCCCGGCCCCTCCTCAGACGCCTCCGTCTTCGTCCCCACTTTCCTCGCCTCTTTCGCCGCCATGGCTTTTGCTCTTCTCTTCTAATTAAACAATTTTCCCATTATTATTCTTCTGCTTTCATTTTCCCTATTATTATTTTCTGTTTACATGCATTATTAATATTTATTATTATTATGTGGTTACAGTACTACTGTCGGAATTAATGTGGGATTTTGTTGGTTCATGTCTCTCTAATTGGTTTTATTTTATGATCCCCATATTTCCATTTTTCTTTTGTTTGTGTTTGTAATAATATAATGTAACCATTCTTATCATATATAATATTCTACAAATTAAATTAAAACTCTCTTTTACTTTGTCTTCTCTTTTTTACGTACTCCCTACTTTAATTAATTCATCATCACACAATACAATATAATATATACTGTTAATTAATTTCTTGGATTTTTAATTAAACTTTACCATTCCAACTAATCTTCTTTTCACTACTTACTATCGGTTAATATTTTACACACTTCAGGAGTAAGCAAAAATGAAAAAAATAATTAATTAATTATATATGGATCAAAATATTAATTGCTGTCATTAATTATTATAATACAAAAAATCAAATTATATATATGGAACGTGATTACCACTTAAGTAAATAAAAGAAATTGATGTTTAAGATGTGTGGCCAAGGGTGGAAATCGAAATACATTTTTTCATATTTCTTTGCAGATTTCAAATCCAATACTTTCTATTCATTTTGAAACATAAATATTTTCATTGTGAATTCTGATACTTTGATATTTTCTTTTTTGAATTTTGAATCTTTGATACGATTTTTGGCTTTTCAATTTTTTTTGGAATTATTTTTTCTTTCAAAACAAATTGGAATTTATGCAAATTATTCCGATTCGATTTTGTCGGATTTCCACCACTAAATCCTAATCGTGACAATTCAATTACTAATATTATACCAGTCATGTGTGTATTATGTGTCTAATTTGGTTATACTTTACATGGTAGAAGTGAAGAAGATAAATGAATGGAGAATTGAAGATCATGAATCGGATCAAATTCAAGGGACTTGAATTAACTTAAAATATAGATATAGATATATTGGTGATGAATAAGAAAGCAAGATGGAATCAAAGGACAATTAATAGTAAGTGGCAATAATCGCACTATTAATTAATATTCGCATATTATAATTTCTGCACCTAATTAATATTCATATACATTATGATTATGTGTATGTTCGATCTCATGTATGTTACAACAGTAAGACAACATACATTATGTGGTTAGCAGCACATGCACATGCTTTTGCTTATCTCTCAGATGAAAATTAAATAAAATTAAAGCTAAACTTTTAACTCAAACAAGACAACCCCACCTAGCTAGCCTGTAAAACATATATAATTCGGACATGGATCTTTCTTTATTTTTTCAAAGCTCAGTACTTACTCATTATTATATTATATATATTTAAATCCCGACCCTAATCAACCCACCCCACGTTTTTAATAACAAAGGAATCAACAATCAACTACGTAGAGATCTCGTGCAAAAGCAACAGGAGAGATGTAAGCCACACTAGCCAGCTGCATAAGCCCCATATGTATAACATCAAATTATTTGAAGATCATCCATCATATATATATATATATATATATATATGGTGGTGAGCACATGCAATATGGGGTCAAGATTATATATGCATGTGTACATCACCATATTAATCATGAATAATTTAATTATTTATTATGTATATTAGGGGTGGTTGGCTACAGGAGGGTTTGTCTATAAGCAATGAATTGGAGATATGTGGAGTGTTTCTTTATTTCATTTCTCAAACGAACACATGTATGTATGATGTATCACCAAATCTTTAAAGTCTGTAGTTTAATTTGATTTATTGAGTGATGAAGCTCTAAATTAAGTGGCTTATCAGCAAACTTTTCTTTCTCTATACTTTCGACAAATGCTGACATAAAGCCAAGTAACCATCAACCACAACTTGGTGAGAATTAATTTCATATGCAAATTGCAGATTAAATGGTGGTATGAATCAACTACAATATTTACCTTAACTACCTCAATTATGAAATTTTCCGGCTCAAATACGGATTCGCCCACACCTTAGTAAAATATGACATGGATCATGTTAGTAAGAGTAAAACATAGTCCAAAGCTAGATGTTTTCAAGTGTATTGACACAATCAACAGCTTTAAACGAGGTTAAAGTGAAGACTTGTAAGATAACTCAAAAGAAAATTAAAATAACACCACTTTGTCAAAAAAACTACGGTCCTCGTAAAAAGTAAAAAAAAAAAAAAAAAAGTTTTTAACATTTCGCCATAGTTAAGTGACAACAACAAACAAGTCTAGGTAGTACAATACAAACAGAGGAAACTAGTAATAGAGAGATAGTACAGAGAAAGTGAGTCAGTCAAAGCCTCGTGGTTGATTGATCCAAAGGCCCATCATGCTGGAATAGCCTTTTACACTATCAGATCAGGAGCTTCTCAATCGCATCCTGCGTTTCACAAGAATATATAATTATTATTTTAAATTGTCGAAAGGAGGATAAGGATTTTATCAAGACAGATGAAAATCCGTTAAAATTAAATACCTTCAATTGTAGTATTTGAGCTCTCAACTGGCTTCCCTCGTTGGTTGTCACCGAACATGCAATCACTGGCCTGGTTACCCCACATGCTCGACCAAGAGCTTGCTTCGATGGTACAAAAACATATGGCACATTCTGTAATAACATACAAAAGTTCAGCTGAATACAAAGTGACCATAGCCATTAAACATGATTTTCAGGGGTCAATTATCTCATGCTGCTTATTGCAAAGACAACATGCTATGCCATGCTATTTTAAAGATTAAGCACATAACAGTAAATTAAATATTAAGAAACTGAACATTAAAAAGATTTAAGTATTTGGTTGCAAGTAATCCAACAACATGGTTTATCTGCACAGCATACTCATCATAACTCAAAATTAGAGGTACTGGTATCCAAGTAGTTTGAGAAATTGTATAAAGTCGAAAAAAGGTACAATTTTATTTTTAACAACACCAGAATGAAACGGATGATGTGCTTCACATTTCAAGATATTAGAAACACGAGAAGGTAAACGAAACATGATATCAAAATTTGACTTTGGAGTAACAGAGTGCATATTATTGCATGATGTGTCATACAAAGCATTTCATGTTATATGGAAAGACTTGTTTTATCTAACTTTTTGAGTAAAAGACAGAACCATTGCACAAGTAGTTTCATAAGACAATAAACAATTAAACATATCTGTCAAGAAACGCACACCATAATTGCACATTCGATGACATTCAAATGGTAAAACAGACGAGTGCCAAACAAACTAAGGAAGCAATGAAATTGAGAAAGAACAAGATTCATCACACATAACCCCACATATCCAAAAATGAAGTAGAACATATGATACAGAAGTCGAAAAAAGTACCTTGTCTTCAGCAAGAAGTGGGAGATGAAGAAGGATTTCAAGAGGCTCTGCATCAGCTGCCATCACAACAAACTCAGAAATACCTCTGTTCAGTGTCTTAGTCGCTGCAATCGAAAAACAGTCTTTTAGAGATACATTTATTTAGTAAAAAATGAAATGGGAAATCAATATACACGTGCAAGAAAGAAACCTTCATTAGCACCCTTTTTGAGTTGCTTGTAGTTGGCACCTTGTTGCACCAAATCAAGAATAGTAATTGTCAGCTGGGCATCTGCCAATGGGTAAGCTTTCGGGTTCACAGCATCTGCAGTCTATACACACAAACACACATATATTATAAGTATTTATGCACAAAAGAGAGTATAAACATAATCAAAACTTGGGACTTGAAAGAAGAGAAGACATGATTAGTGAGACTGTATGTATTACCATGGTGGCGGAAAATTTCTATTGGAGAAACGAATGCCGACTGCAGAAAAACTAGGGTTTTGAGGCAACACAGAGTGAGTGAGTGAGTCCTGAAAGCAATCAACTTTAGGGTTTTGGAGAGCAGCCAAACCCGACCGATCTGACAATTCTCCACTTGTTTGATTTTTTATTATTTAAAAATGCATTACAATTTATTACTTAAGGTTTCAATCGCCAATGGGCTCAATAATTCATATATATATATGATATATGATATATGATATATGAACGTAATGCAAAATATATAGATTTCCCATATTAAATTCTTGATCATTAATTATTAATTATTAAAAAAAATTGCCAATGTTTTGGATTTTATTTATCAATGATATATTCATTTATTTAGAATTAATCATTGCAAAGAATTTGTGATTGATTTGTTTATTACAATAATTTTGTAACCCCAAAATATGTGTGATTGTGCTTAAACTATAAGTGCAAAATTACCTATTTCCCAAACGTAGAATTTACAGGACCGATTGTCAATAAATAATGTACACAAAAAATGAAAATGGTTAAAATTTACATGGTGTTTCCTCTCTCTACAACTGAAATTACAAGAGACATCTCAAAATGTCTTTACATAGAGTATAGTGACTCTCAATACAAAGTATGCAAGAATTGAAGTTCACATTAAGAGGAAGATAGGGAGCACAGAAGTTCCTTCCGTTTACGAGCCGAGCCTCAACTAGTTTTACAGCGCTCTCAAGATGTCAGAGATGATGCCCAAACCCGAGCATTTCTCGCCCCTCTATGGAAGTTTCTTGTTTTACACATCTTCAGCTTGCTCCAAATTCCATTCACATCAATCACATGCAACACTCGCCCTATTATCTGCCTCGAATCTCCAAAAATCCCAATATTCAAATGAGGAACATATGCTGCCCATATAGCCATTATATGAGGCGCAATCTCTGAGAATAGATATTGAAAACCCCTTGACATGACAAATAATATCGAGAATAATAGATAAGGTTCCTTCAGGAATTTTTCCTTCAACGATGCTCCATTCCAAAGCTGAGAAACTTTTTGATCGCTCTTCGAATGACATGATGTATCTTCAACCATATCCACTACAGGATCCAGCCCTAAACAGGTACAAGAATGTAGGCGTGAGAGGGTAAATCAGTAATTTTAAAACCCAATTCAATATAATCTTTTAAAAATAGACTGTATGTCTGTCTACCATAGTTGATACCTGTCTTTTTTCTGTAGAAATTTACAAGAGACTGAAGATCTTTTTGACCATGATATCTCATTCTTGATTTCTGATCCACTATCAATAGCGAGGGTACACTGTGAATCCCATATCTCGAAAATACACTGAATGGAAGACACAAATTAAAGTGAAAGAAAATTAGCACTTGAATGAGAATAACAAATTATAAACCTCTCAAAATTGTGCATGCTGTGTAGGCTTCTTATTATCGGATAGAAGACATCAATCACAACTAAATGATCTCCGAGAATCCAATAAAATTTTCACAAGCTACTTTCTACAAACCCAAAAACTATGACCCGAGCAATATCTTTGTGTTTGTCCTCTTAATCAAAGTACCATCAAAGGACATTCTGCAGGTGTTTCATAAAATTCGGTAAATGAAGTTATACAAATTCACATGCTAGTAGACTAATAGTGGTAAAGCTAATCCACCCCTTTGACATTAAAGGAAATAACATTTACAGGGAGGGGACAGAGCTAAAACCACCCACCTGGGCAGGACTGAAGTTTGTTCGACCATTAGATGTTTGACCTGCGGATACATGGAACTGAGAGTAGAAAACTTTGACTGAAAGATGCTTGAGAATGGACACCATGAAGCATAGAAAAGAACAGCCGTATATTCATTTTTCTGACTGGAGCTCATAGCTCTTTCTAATGATTCTCCATCCACCTTCAATCACATTAAATTGCATCAATGAGTGATTGAAAAATAAAAAAAAATGTATCTTTAACAACTCTGCAAATCAGGAAAAATAAGACAAAACATAGAAAACTATAACCACTTGTGCTCTTTGCTGTGTGTCTTAGCAATTGATAGTTCGGTAAGAATAAAACGCAGACACCTATAACCACTTGTGCTCTTTGCTGTGTGTCTTAGCAATTGATAGTTCGGTAAGAATAAAACACAGACACCTATAACCACTTGTGCTCTTTTCTGTGTGTCTTAGCAATTGATAGTTCGGTAAGAATAAAACACAGACACCTATAACCACTTGTGCTCTTTTCTGTGTGTCTTAGCAATTGATAGTTCGGTAAGAATAAAAGATTGCCCACCTAGTTTCCGCTTAATGTCTGACACTACTTATGAATCAAATGACTCGGCTCTTTCTACATCACTTGTGTTCATTTTTATATTGTCTACATTGTACCTTTATCCTAGTAGTCGAAAATCATAACTTGAAAATTTAAATAGTGATGACCTAGCTCTAAGTAAACATCAAATATATCCTTCATAGTTCATCTGCACTTACTTCAGCACAACTAATGAATAATCAAGAACGGTCCTCCTCCCAGAAGGCTCTTAGAGAAAGGGTCCATTCCAATACAAATAACTTTAATTTTAAAACTCACTCCAATCTCTGTAGACACGGATAACATTTTTGTACTCAATTCCCAGATCAAGAATAAGCCTTTAAATTAGCTTCAGATTATTTACGAGCTGAGAGAAGAAAAACCGAAACCACCCTCAAAATATCAACAAGTGACATGCCATAACACATCCAAAACAAAACAATCCAGTGATACAAATATAAGTAATATCTATCACCATAAATAATAATTATTCTTAAAAAAAAAAAGGTAAAACAACATAAACAGAAGCAGCCGAAAATCAGGGTAAATGAAACACAAACACACACGTCAACATAATTGATAACTCACATAAATAACAAGAACAAAACAGGAAGGAAATAAAAAAAAAATCACCTGGATTGGCGAAGAAGAGGGGATGAAGAGCGGGCACTGAGAATTGAGATCGTGAAGAAATGATTTGAAATGACGTTGACAAGTAGGTGAAGAATACACCGGCCGGAAAGACGTCGTCGCCGATGCTGCCAATATACAGATGAACATAGATACACATTTTCCCATCATCGGAAAATCCATTCCCATTGACAAAAATATCCTAATTCAACAATAACAATTGATTTCTAACCAACACAAACAAAACTAGAGATCAAATTGCAATGGGCTATGGCTATGGCTATGGGTGTTTAGCTATTTGACAATTGAAATATCTCTCCCTGCAAAAACCTAACTCTTCCCATCGCATTTATTAAGATTTTATATAATTTGGCTATTTGCTACTTTACTTTATTTTTTATTTATCAATTAATTTATAAATTTTATACATTTGGCTACAATATTCTATACAGAATGTACAAGATGTTGCTAAAAAAATCTATTAATTAATGATTTAATTCAGAAATACTAAATTATTAATTAATTATAAATCAGCCAAATATACATATACTATACTAGACATGGCCACGGGTCGGGTCTGACCCGGACCCGACCCGGCGACCGCCCCGGCCCCACCCCGTGACCATGACTCGATCCGACCCGGTATTATGGTGCGGGTCCGCTAGCTTCGCGGGCGCCTTGTGACCCT